TCTCTCAAAATAAATAAATAAACTTAAAAAAATTTTTTTTAACTCCTTCATGGTGAGAGATACACACTGAAGTATTTACAGGTGACATGATACAGTGTTTGGGATTTTATTGGAAAATACCGCAGCAAAAACAAAACAAAAGTGTCGGTGGGGGCACAGAATAGGTGGAACGTGAATGGCGAAGTGTGGAAGGTTTTGAGTCCGGGTGATGGATGTGAGGGGGCTTTTTTATGGCGTTTCTTTACTTTTGAAAATATTTGGATAATTTTATATTAAAAGTTCAAAAAACGTCTTGGCTTTTCCCTAGTAACACTGAATACTTTGCTTGGCTTTTCAGAGTGACCGACTCCTCATCAAAGGTGGACGAATCATCAATGATGACCAGTCCTTCTATGCTGACGTCTACCTGGAAGATGGACTTATAAAGTGGGTTGACCAAAAACTTTTTTTTAAAAAAAGAAAAAGATTTTATTTTTTAAGTAATCTCTACACCCGACGTGGGTCTCGAACTTACAACCTTGAAATCAAGAGCCACACGCTCCACTGAACGAGCCAGGCAGGTGCCCCCAAAACGCGTCTTTGAAGAAGCCAGTCTCCCCGGGCTGCCTGGCCCTCAGGGGACACAGACAGCTGGCGTTCTGTCCCCAAATGACTGTGCTGTGTCCTGTGAATGTCAGGGAGGGAGAGATTCGAGGAGGGAGGAGCTCCAAACTAGTGGTGGGTCGGGGACTAGCCGTTATTGAGTGCCCCTGCCGTGTGAGCCTTCTGTAGGGCCTCAGATGCACAGGGAGCTGTGATGTGCACCTGCTGGCCTCCTGTCCTATTGCAGGAAGTGGTGGGCTAGTGAGGCAAAACACCTGCCCCACACTGCAGTGTCCGTTAGGGACAAGGCACAGGTGTCAACCTGGTACATAGGCCTGAACTCACAGCTCTTTCTTCCACCTGCCCAGAATTTCTGGATTGGGTTGAAGGGGGACAGGGGAGAAGGGAAGAATGTTAGGACAGGGCCGTGGTGCTTAAATAAAAGACATCCGTTGGGACTGAAGTCTCCTCCACTTTCTCCCTATCGGCGTCCTCTCTAGCTGTGACATCCCAGTGTGCTCGTTCTCTCGGTCACTGTAATGGAGAACCCGCGGCTGGGCGGCTTCAACAATAGGAATTCACTTGTCACAGATCTGGAGGCTGCCAGTCCTGGGTCAAGGTGCCGGCAGGGATGGTTCCTTCTGAGATCTCTCTCCTTGGCTTGCGGATGGCCGTCTTCTGGCTGTCCTCCCGTGGTCGTCCCTCTCTGTGCATGCACTCCTGGGGTCTCTTCTCTTCCTCTTCTTACAAGGACATCAGTCCTACTGGGGGGTCAGGGCCCCTCCCTAATGCCTCATTCTAATTTACTCACCTCTTTAAAGGCCCCCTCTCCAAAAACAGTCACATTCTCAGATGCTGGGGGTCAGGGCTTCAACATACAAGTTTGGGGGAGCACAGTCCACAGATAGTGGTTTGGATGTGGCCTCCACATTTCACCGGCTCGTAATGGAGAGGTTCAGCTCTTTTTCTTATGCATGACGAACGCCCTGGATTCGCTCAGCATCTTCCCCTGGAGTCTGGGAGAGTAGGAGCTGGAAACTCTCAGTATCCAGCTCCGGCTGCTGGCACAGCAAAGAAGGGCAGAGGGGAACATGCGTGAGATGAAGGTCAGGACTGTCTGGTGCCCATGTAGGCTTTGATGAAGAGGAGGAGGAGGAGGAGGAGCAAAGGGAGGAAGAGGAGGAGAAGGAGGAAGGGGAGAAGGAGAAAGGGGAAGAGAAGGAGGAGAAAGAGGAGGAAGGGGAGGGGAGGAGGAGGAGGAAGTAGAGGAGGAGGAGGGCGGAGGAAGAGGGTCAGGAGGAGCCCTACTCTGCCCCTTTCTGCCAACCGCAACTCCAGCCCCAGACTCCAAGCATTTCAAGTCCAGCCCAAGCCCCTGTTTTTCCAGGTGATTCTCTCCTCTCAGCTGTTCCCAGCCACACTGAAAACATGCTACCCCCAGAGCGAGCCCAGCAGCCCTCGCCTGGAACCTCGCACCCATAAATCCTCTGCCTGGAACACCTTGCCCCTTCCCTCATTCTCCTTTTCTCCCCCCATTCCCCAACCCCTGTTTGTCCTTTGGGTCCTGCTTGTGTGGCTCCTCCTCCAGGAAGCCTTCCCTGACCCCCGTGTTGGAAGCATTCTCTTGCTGGCCAGCCTGCGTGCCAGTCCCACACTCCTCATGCTGCACGCGGCCCTGACTTAGGGACCTCACCTTAGGGCCTCCCCCCCGGGGCCTGGCACAGTGCTGGGGACAGACAGGTACCAGGAGCATTGGCTGGAAGAACCCTGGCCCGTCAGTGCAGGACCTTGGTCTCGGCCGCAGTACAGCCTGGAACCAGAGGGAGAAAGGCACACGTGGTGGGGGTGGGTGTGGGTAGTGAGGTTCCTAGGTCACCCCCCTGCTTAGATAAGGAGACAGCCATTCCAGGGCAGACCCTGGTTTGTAGGGGCTGGGGGCTTCTGGGGCGTGAGGGGTAAAGGATGCTGACAACTGTTGTGGGACCACCTTCCCACCAGCCTCACGGGGTTTGAAGTTAACCCCCCAGGAGCCTTGCAGTCCAGGGTGTATGCATGGAACAAGAGCTCACTGGCTGAGCTGCATTTATGAAGTGCTTGCTGCATATGCGAACACTTGGAGTCTTCGGACCTTGGTGGGCCGTGTTGTTCAGGAACTGCGCGGTTTCCACAAGTTCAGTGTCTGTCGGCCCCTCTCAGTCTGAAACGCCTTTGTATTTGACTCTGCTGGCCCTCCCCTTCCACCGTTAAGCAGACGAGTCTCCGGATGGTCATGTGGGGTGCAGGTCCCTGCTGGCTGGGAAGCAGGTGTGGGAGGGCTGAGACCCTGGGGGAACCACCTGCGCTGACCCCAGGCACCACCCGGCATGAGGAGGCTCAGTTATTTCCCTTTACTTTGATGGAACCCCAAGAACCCTTTTATTTGGCAGCCGTTCACCAAGCTTTCCTGACAGCTGTTCGTCTGTCTTTGTGCAGAATCTGTTATGATTCATTGAAGGTTCCGTCCAGTTTGCTCAGCGCCGGTGACTCAAACGCCGGCCGCCCAAGACTCCTGAGCGTGGTGTCGAGCGTCTGTCTCATTCTCAGAGCCTCCTTTCTCCTCGCCCCTTTTCCACACCCATTGCCATCGAGAACCTTTTAGGTTTTTCCTCCGAATGCACTGAGGGCTCCATTTGGCTCAATCCCGGTTTGGGGAGAATCTGCTTCTATCTAAGGGAAGCAGGAAGGCAGTTGAGGCTGGTGGGCAGAGCCAAGATATGAGATTTGGGGGGACCTGGCTTGAGTCCAGACCCACCACTGACTTGCTGTGTGGCCTCAGACATGTCACGTGCCTCTCTTGAGTTCTGTTTTCTTCTTTCACTTCCTGTAAAGAGAGGCGACTGTCATGCCTTTAAGATGGACCCCAAACAGCAGTACTTGCTGGCCGTGTGGCATGGTGACTGAGTCACATTCCCGATCAGACTCCACGGATACCCCCCTGTAGGGCCCATGCCCAGTCTGGGACATGCCCAAGCCGTTGCCAGCATGAAACAGTTGAACATGACCCCATCTTCTTTAGAAGCCAGTTGGAGCGTTAAATGGGATGATCCCTGAAGTGTATAGAAGGCCAGTGCTCAGCAGTGACCTGCCCCTGCTGTAAGGCTTGGGGGTGTCTCCTCCCGGACCCCTGACATAACGCCCTGTGTTTGGAGCTGGACAGCGGGAGGATCGGGCAAGGCAGGAGTCTGCACATTGAGATGGAAATTACAGAGGGGAAGAGGTTGGTGTTGGGAGCAGCAGTGGCCGTGGCTGCAGGAGTGGTAGCGGTGATGGTCCCCAGCACCGTCCTTCCGCTAGACCTACTTTCGGCTTCGGGACAGATAGTGTGTGATGCCCCAACTCTGTGGAAGACCCCCAAGGGGAGCCCCGTGGCCTCTGTCCCTCCCCACCCCACTTGCCTGGACCGGCCCCGCCCAGGGGTCCAAGGGGAGCCAGGGGATTCTGTTCCTGCCACCTGGGGGTGCATTCTTTTTGGGGGCCTGGCATGGTGGTCACCAGAGCAACACTTTCCTGTACCTTCATTACTGATGTTTTCACGTGACTTAGGATATTGTTGCCTAAGCTGATGAGGTCAGAACAACTGTATTTAAAAAAAAATTTTTTTTAATGTTTATTTATTTTTGAGAGAGAGAGAGAGAGAGAGTATGAGTGGGAAGAAAGTAGAGAGAGGGAGCCATTGGGAACCGGCAGCAGGCTCAGGCTCAGTGGTGCTGGGCAGGCATTAGGAGCCCTCGAATGCTGGGCTCAAACCCACCAACCGTGAGATCATGACCTGAGTCGAAGTCGGATGCTCAACCAACTGAGCCACCCAGGCACCCCTGTATTTTTTTTTTAATAAAAATCGCTCATGTCCAGATCTAGTGTCTTCTCACTCAGGCCATGCTGACCCAAGGCTGTTGTATCTATCCTGGTGCTGGCTGAGCCTCCCCTCTGCCCCCCATGTCTCCTGACTCTGGTTCCAGCAGGTGAAACACAGCTGCCACCACAGGGGCAAGGCTTCGAATATCTTGGGCTCTTCTCTCTTCTTCCAGCCTTTGGAATTTTCTTTCTTTCTGGAGGGAGTTTGCAGGCACCTGGTGCATTTGGGAACAGAGGTGATGGTCAGCGTGTGCAGAGAAACCCTGCCATCCCCAGTGTGATTCCCTCCAGGCAGGTTTTACCCTGTTAGTGGATTTTTCTTGTGGGTACTGGGGAGTCCAGCAGCTTCCCTGAGGTCAGTGCTCCTGAGAGTGAAAATGAAAATCCTGGTTGCTTGTCTGTATTAGCTAGCCACAGGTGCCATAACAAAGCCCCCCCATACTGGGCAGTTTAAACAGCAGACATCTATTTTTTCATGGGTCTGGAGGCTGGAAGTCTGAGGTCAGAATGTCAGCAGGTGGGTTTCTTTGAGGCCTCTCTCCGTGGCGTGTAGACGGCTGTCTTCTCCCCGTGTTCTCACATGATCAATCCTCTGTACGGGGTCTATGTCCTGATCTTGTCTTCTTACAAAGACACCAACCAATCTTACAAAGACACTGTTGGATTAGGACCCACCCTAATAGCCTCATTTTACCTTAATTGCCTTTGTGAAGGCCCAGTCTTCAAATACAGTTACATTCCGAGGTCCTTGGGTAGGGCTTCAACATCCAGCTTTTGGGAGGGTCACACTTCAGCCCATAGCACTGTCAAAGTTTGCAGAGCTAAGGGGACTTTACTCCTGCAGTCACTGTCCTCTGTTTCCCTGAAGTGGTTGACAAAGAGTGGGAAGTACTCTGGAGGGACAGGCTGTTCTGAGAACCCTTTGACACCAACCCCCGTAAGCCTCCCCAGATACCCGGGCTGGTAAAGCAGCCCACCTTATACCCTCCACCCCTCTGCTGTCCTGGATTGTAACCACCTGCCCACATGCCTCTCCCCTTCCTCAGGCCATGAGCCCCTCGAGGGCAGGAACCCTGCCTGAGCTTTCTCTGTCTACCCAGTCCCCTGCATAAGACCTGGCTCAAAAATGTTTACCCAGTGGAACTGACACCACACAGTTGGCTGCCATTTTGTTTTTCTCTTAAGAACCCAAGGCCGTTTCTGTTGTTTCCAGACAAATAGGAGAGAACTTAATAGTTCCTGGTGGAGTGAAGACCATTGAGGCCAATGGGCGGATGGTGATTCCCGGAGGTATCGATGTCAACACGTACCTGCAGAAGCCCTCCCAGGGGATGACAACTGCTGATGACTTCTTCCAAGGGACCAAGGCAGCACTGGCAGGCGGGACCACCATGATCAGTGAGTTGCACCCCTGCCTTGGGCACATGTGACTTCTCTTCTACGTCACCAGCAGCATCAGCAACACCACAATACTCAATATAGATACAGGCACTTTGCTCAGGGGACCATTTAATATAACTCACCACAACCCTTCCATAAAGGCCAATATATTATGTGTGCTGCTGGTAATACACTGATAATTTTATAGGCAATAGACATTTAAAAGTTTAAAGTATTTTAATGCATTTGAAATGAGATGACTGGCACATTGTGGGTACTATTGTTTCTTGTGCGATTAAAATGAACGTTTAAATTTCTAGGAACCGTGGACTGATTTAAAGAAAAGTGTCAAGGGAAGAATGATATGGATTATAGGCAGACAAAGCCAAAATTTTCTGAACCTGGTGTGCACATGGCTAAAGTTTGGGAACCAGTCATGTAGATGTTACTATGAAAGATGGAGAACTAGAGGCTCACAAAGATGAAATAAGTTGCTGGACGTTACACAGTGGGGAGCGGGTTGTACTAGTCAGTATCGATGCTGTAATGCTGTGATAATGCTGCATAACAAACAGTCCCAAACTTCAAGCATCACTTGTTTTTCTTGGTCAAGGATCTGAGGGCCCAGGGAGAGGACTGGAGTGGGTCTGCTTCAGGCTGTGGGTTGGGTTCTCAGAGACACCATGGAGCCCCCATCCTGGAACCAATGGCCACCTCAACTGTGCCCTTCTCCTGGTAGATGGCAGAAGTGCAAGAAGGGTCTGGCAGGAACTTATCACTCCTCTTACCACCTTATGTCTTCACTTACACACAGAAGTTCTGTTGGCCAAAGCAAGTCACACGGCCAAGCCTAAAGTCACTGGGATCTCACTCTACCCACCACGAGCCATGGGGAAGGTGGGGAGCGGAGGAAGAATTGTGCACAAATAATGCCATGTACCTCAGTGGTTTCTTTGGAGGCTGGATTCTTCCTTTACTGCACTTTGCAGTCCCCTATATTTTTTTAAGTAGCTTTTCTTTCTTGGATTTCATTTTAATAAATGGTTTTTAAAAATATTTATTTATTTGGGGGGGGGCGGAAAGTGAGCATGAGTTGGGGAGGGAAGGAGGGAAAGGGAGAGAGAGAATCCCAAGCAGGCTCCGTGCTGTCAACATAGAGCCTGACACAGGGCTCAGTCTCACGAATCGTGAGATCATGACCCGAGCTGAAATCAAGAGCCAGTCATTTAACCTACTGAGCTACCCAGGCGCCCCTTAGTAAATGATCTTAATTAAGCAAGCATTAGCTGATTTTCAGTGTTCTTTCAACTGGTAGGCTCTCTGTATCCAGGCAGCTCATCCCCAAACTGGCCATAACCCTGCCCATCTCTCTTCCTCCAACAAACCCCTTTGGAAGTACATTGTGGGCTAGAGCTGGCCATCGTGGGTGGGGCTCGAACCCATGAGCAGTGAGATCATGACCTGAGCCAAAGTCGGACGCCTAACTGAGCCACCCAGGTGCCCTATAGGATGAGCTGTATAATAGGAGCCTCCCCACCCGCCCCCCCACCATAGTATTGCTGGGAGACATACATGAGGTTACTGAGCGTAGTGCATGGCACATGATAAGTACTTGGAAATAGGAGCTCGGATGGTTCTGAGAGGTGGAGATGGAAGTTCCAGGCTCAGGTGACCTGTGTGGAGTAGAGGACAGAGCCCCAGATGAGGAGTCAGGATCTCCAGAGTCCCCCTTTGCTCTTTTCCCATCATGAGCTTTGAGACTCTTGGGAAGGCCCCTGGCCCATTCTTTGGGTCTCCTCCTCCCTGTCTATAATAGGGTGGTTTTCACAGTGTGTTTTATGGAACTCCAAGAACCTGTGACAACACCAGGAGGACCATAGTAAGAGGAGTGTGAGGGGCAGCGAGGTTCTGAGTCCCCACCCCATTTTTTCATTCAGCTGATCCTTATTGAGGGTTGCTCTGTGCCAGGCACGGTGCTAGGTGTTGAGGGAGAGGATGGAAAAAGCAGGCATGGTGCTAGTTCTCCAGCGGTTGCAGGCTCGGGGCGGTTACAAATCATATATGACTATATATCCATGTCTATAGTCTGTGACTCGGGCTACAACAGAAAGGTGCACAGAACTCTGAACTGAGGGGCAAAGCATTCAAGGAAGGCTTCCCTGAAGAAGTGGCATTCATGCAGGGATCTGAAGGATGAGTGTGAATTAACTGGGTGAAGAAGGTGGAGGGGACCAGAGCCCCAGGAAGAGAGAACGACATGTGCAAACACCCCGTGATGGGAGAACACAGTTTGCATTTAAGAGACCCATGAGGCATGAATGCAGAGACTTAGGGGTAGAGTCCTGTGAGATAAGACTGGAAGGTGAGGGTGGTGCTGAGCCTCGATGGCTGAGGTAAGAATGTTGGATTTTTTCATATGGGCAATGAGCAGCTGTCGAAGGATTTTAAGCAAAGAGTGATGTGATCTGCTGATCTGCTTTGGGTTTTAAAGAGACCATAATAGAGTGGCCTAGATCAGATGTGGCTGGACCGGTGGGATCACAGTAGCTCACTGAGAGAAGAGGGTGGCTAGGACTAGGGGTGTGGCCATGGAGTGGACAGAGGTGGACAGCTCCAGGGATACGTAGGAGGGAAATCTAAGCACTTGGTGATGGGTCGGACGTGGGGGTATCTGAGAGAAAGGAAGTGTCAAGAATGACCCCTTCGATCCTAGGTATGGAACTAAGGTGGTATCTGCACAGCTAAGGAGGTGGCGGGGGACCAGATGTGCAAGTGGTAACGATGTTGCATAAGGTTTGGGACATTTGAACCTGGAGAAGCTTTTGAGTTTTGCTGGTGGAGAGGTCGGGGAAACAGCTGGTTTCAGAGTTCTGCAGCTAAGCTGGAGTGGGACATTTTAATGATTAGCTACATTGAAGGAAACATTCCAGGACCAAGCCATGAGGAATTCGACCATTTAATGGCCAAGGAGAGGCAGAAAATTCTACAAGGAGCCTGAGGAAAAATGGCCACAGAAGTAGAATAAAAGCCAGCAAGCCACGTTGTCATGGAAACCAAGAGGAGGGAGTGATTCACTGTGCCCTGAGAGGGCCAGTGGAGTCAGGATTGGATGTTTCCGTTAAATCCAGAGACATGGAGATTGAATTAGCAAAGGCCAGTGCTTTAGATGGGTGGAGGAGTGAGTGGGAATAGGGACCTCTCTTTATAGGTGTCTGGCTGTAAAGGGTGGATGTTAAGGAGATAGGGCAGTAGCTAGAGGGATATACGAAGCCAAGTGAGGCTTAAAAGTTAGGCGTCTCCCCTTTCATTTGCTTTACATTTAAGATTTTATTTGAAAAGGGGTGATGAAATTAACATTCTTTTAGTCTCTAAAGTCTTTTTCACTTTTCATCTATGGCAGCATGGGGTAGGGGAAAGGTTCAGACTGCAGCAGACGAGACTCTGGGGATCTTCCTACTACTTAACTAGTTGTGTGATGTTAGACAAGTTCCTTGCCCTCTTTGAGCCTCAGTTTCTTCATCTGCAATGGAGATGCTAATATTCACTTCGTGGGGTGGTTGAGAGGATTAAATGTGATAATTTTAGGCCTTGTGGCAGTATCTGAGGCATCGTAAGCATTCAACAAATAGTTGTGATACTGTTGCTGCTGCCGAAGATGACAACGACAATGGTGGTGACCATGCGCTGCTGATGGTTATGGTAGTCATGGTGACATTGATGGCAATGTTGACGATGATGATGAAGAGGGTTGTGATGATGAGGATGTTGATCTTGGTGATGGAAGTAGGGGTGATGATTAAGGTGGTGGTGGTGATGATGGTGATGGTGGTGATGGGATGAAGAGGCTATTAGAGCCTACCATTGGGACATCTTGGGTCCTAAACATCTTGGAATGTGACAAGTACCGTTCTTTCACAGTTGACCATGTTGTCCCTGAACCTGGGTCTAGCCTGCTGACCTCCTTCGAGAAATGGCACGAAGCAGCTGACACCAAGTCCTGCTGCGACTATTCCCTCCATGTGGACATCACGAGCTGGTACGATGGCGTCCGGGAGGAGTTGGAGGTGCTGGTGCAGGACAAAGGTCAGTTAAAGTCTCAGAATGGGGGCGCAGTTCTGGAATTTCTGGTTCTTTGGCAGGTCTGATTATGTGAAGTGAAAAATCCCTTTATCTGCATCTGCGGGGAGCCCAGCTATGTGCTGCACACTGTCGCATAAACAATGCAAAAACGGGATCCTCTATAAGGGGTCTGTCCTCTTCTCCTTCGAGTCCTTGGGAGGTATCCCCCTGTTCACAGAAGCAAGCCTCATTTCCTTAGCCTGGCACGCAGGGCCCTCGCTGATCTAGTCCCCTTTCTCTTTCTCTGCCTAAACGTATCTGGGGTACTTGTTATCCTGGATGCCATCCCCCAAAACCTGCTTGACCACTGGACCTGTGCTCGCACTGAACCCCCTACCAGGATGGCTCTTTCTTCTACTCTGCTTCCCGAGCTCAACTAGCACCTTCTCCAGTTTCCCCTTTTTTGGCTCTCCCCTCTCCATCGTACTTGGACTATGGGACACTGGTTCTTTGGCTCGTCTGTTACACCCTGAGCTCTATGAGTCGGGGGATCGTCTCTATCCAACTCTGTATCCCAGGCCGTTTCCCTTCTGTTTGGACTCACTCACACCGGGTGGCCCTGCACAGTGTAGACACTACAGTGTGCATCATGTTGAGATGACTTAAATTGCAGATACATGAAGCAAAACAAGAGAACAGAATGAACCAGGACAGGAGTGGTCTGTCTGGAGAGGGACTGTTCTGGATGCTCTCTGAAGAGGCACCCTCAAATGAATGAGATGCTTCAAGGAGACCTAGAGGGTGTTTTCAATTTTTACGATAGAGATGCTGTGTTTTCTCATTATAAGAGTATATTCTCCACAATACAAAAGAGTCAGGAAATAAAGAGAAGGAAAAAATGTTTTTCTTCTGGCCATACCACCCCGCCCCCACCACCTACATTAACGTTAAGGAGTATTGCTTTCCATTCCCTGTCTATTTAGACGATTTCCTCCTTATATAGTTATACGACGGCAGTTATTCGAGATCCTTCTATTTTCACTTAACATTTTATGAGTAATCATTAGTTTTCATTAATAACTTTTTAATGGCTTGTAATGTAGCACGTAATGGTTAATTTGCTTATTTTCTTTTTATCGGGCACTTAGGTTTTCTGTCTGCTTTACTGTAAATGGTGTTACGGTGAACATCTTTGTCTACGAACATTTGTTTGCATTTCTTATTGCTTCCTTCGATTTCCGGAGGTGGAATTACAAGGTCAAGGTGTTAACGTTTTTCAAGATTGTGACACTTGCAGCCAAATTGCTTTCCTGGAGGATGCACACACTTGCATGCCCACGATCCCCGTGTCTCTGGCTCCTTGCACGTGTGCACCGTGGGGCGTTACTTCTACAAAATCCTTGTAAATTTGATGAGGCAAATCCAGTCTATCAGCATACGCTGCAGTTTTTTTATCATTAATTATGTCAGACATTTTGCATCCTCGTTGTGAATGTCCGACTGTATTCTTTGCCTACTTCCAGGTTTGGGTTTTCTGTGTCTGAGTTCTCCACATCAAGAAGGCGATATCCCTCCCTTGCGGTGGCTGTGAATCACACTCTTGTTCTGGGCATCGCAATCCAAGGGAATTTACAATTATGTACCTTGCCTTCCTCACCTCGTGTTAAGTCCTGAGCAAGTTTCCACTCTCCCCATGGGGCTCATCGTATCAGTTTTGGCAGAGCCTGACCCTATGGGGATGTGTAGAGGGGACAGGGGGGACACTGAGATCACAAAGCTGTCACAAGAGAATGCCACAGCTCTGTCAGGGAGGGGACTTTGTGGGGTCGTATTTATCGCATTGTTCTGGAGGAGGGCAGAGAATTTTCTCCCCTTGACTGGACACTTGTAAGGAAATGGCTTGTGGAGGTTTTTCGGTGCATTCCTGGTTTTAAGTGTCTAACTCGTATTGTGTAATGTTTTTTTATTGATTTAAGTTTAAGAGCTAGTGCACGTAGGGTGCCTGGGTGGCTCAGTCGGTTGAGCGTCCGATTTCGGCTCAGGTCATGATCTCACGGTTGGTGGGTTTGAGCCCCGCGTCGGGCTCTGTGCTGGCAGCTCAGAGCCTGGAGCCTGCTTCCGATCCTGTGTCTCCCTCTGTCTCTGCCCTTCTCCTGCTTGTGCCCTGTCTCTGTCTCAAAAATAAATAAACATTAAATAAATGAAAACAAAAGAACTAATGCGCATTTATTGAGAAACAGCATGGAAGTGTCTAACATAAAAAGTGATAATTTGGTGTTTGTCTTCCCAGGCATTTTTCCTATTTGTGTATTTGTGAGGTACATGCTCACATAGCCATAATTTTTACTTAAGTGGAACTGTAATATGCATAATCTGCAGGATGCTTTTAAAAAAATTTTTTTTAATGTTTATTTATTTTTGAGAGAGAGAGAGCAGGGCTGAGCTGTCAACACAGAGCCCGACGCGGGGCTCGAACCTGTGAACCGTGAGATCATGACCTGAGCTGAAGTCGCACGCTTAACTGACTGAGCCACCCAGGCGCCCCTGCAGTATGCTCTTTTAAAGAATATTTTTCATTCTTTTAAGTTTTTATTTATTTAATTTGAGAGAGAGAGAGAGACAGAGAGAGACGGAGACAGAGAATCCCAAGCAGGCCCTGCACTGTCCGCATGGAGCCCGACTAGGGGCTTGAATCCACAAACCACGAGATCATGACCTGAGCCAATATCAAGAGTCAGACACTTAACTGACTGAGCCACCCAGGTGCCCCTGCAGTATGCTTTTTTCCTCAATAAGTGTCATGGACAACCAGGCCCCTCCGCTTAGTGGCTGTGTGACCTTAGGCCAATCCTTCAACCTCTCTGTGCCTCAGTTTCCCCGTCTGGAGAATAGAGGTAACAACGAGGTTGTTTTGAAAGTCCAACGAGAGGCTATATATAAAGTACTTAGAGGAGTGCTGGCCCCTGGTTTGATTCTGTATTATTAGTTATTTCTTTTATCATCATTCCATCGTTTCTCCTAAGAGTATTCCATTTTATGGAGGTACTGGGTTAATCTACTCCCTAGTGGAGAATTTAAAAAAATCGTGTTGTCAGGGCTCGCAGGGAGCCGACTCTGAGGCAGAGGATGGCCTGTAAGCAAGTGTGGATTAGTTTCATGTTGCTGTTATAACAAACTCTAGCAACCTGTGGTTTAAAACAACCCAGATGGCACCTCTGGAGGCCGGAAGTCTGAAGTAGGCTTTAAGGTTCAAGACAAGGTACTGGCAGGGTGGGCTCCTTCTGGAGGCCCGGGGAGAACACTTCCTTGCCCTTTTTTAGAAAAATATTTCTTAATGTTTATTTATTTATTTGTGAGACAGAGAGAGAGAGAGAATGCGAGCAGGAGAGGGGCAGAGAGAGAGGGAGACACAGAATCCGAAGCAGCCTCCAGGCTCCGAGCTGTCAGCACAGAGCCCGACGCGGGGCTCGAACTCACGGACCGCGAGATCATGACCTGAGCAGAAGTTGGACACAACCGACTGAGCCACCCAGGCGCCCCTTCCTTACCTTTTCCAGCCCCTACAGGCTGCCCAAATGCCTTGGCCCCTGGCCCTGCATCCTTCCAGCCACTGCCTCCCTCCCCCCTCATTGACTCCAACCTCTCCCTTCCTTCTTTCACTAAAAAGGACCCTGGTGATCATACTGGGCCCACTCAGGTGATACAGGATGATCTTTTATCTCAAGGTCCTTAATTTAATCTTACCTGCAGATTCCCTTTGTTGGGAAGGGAACACAGTCATAGTTCCTGAGGATTAGGGTGTGGACGTCCAGTCTTTGGGGGGGGGGGCGTTATTTTGCCTCCCACAGGGCGAATCCAGGATCCACCCCTGTGAGCGAAGCCCAGGAAACAGGATTGGCTGCAGGGAGCTCTGAGACCTGACGCCCTTCGGATGGATCCCGAGGACGCCAAGGGCGTGGGGACTTCACACCTCCCACCAGCCCGGCATTGGGTGTGGCCCCTCTGGGATGGGGCATGACCTTGAGCTAGGCTGCTCTGTGCATGGAGGGTGGTGCAAACAGGACTGACAGCTGAGGGCCATCTGCCGGCAGCTCGCCCAGCAGCCGGGGCTGGGGAGCGGGGAAAAAGTCCTTCATTCCGAAGAGGGCTCTTGGGGCTCCTGACGGCACCTGCTGCTGCCTGTTTGCAATTGTTTGGTGTTTCAGTGTTCTGGGAAAACATGTTTGTGAAGATACCCATGCTTACCTGTGTAGATATTTTACAGGGCGAGGAGCTGGAAGCGGACACTGGGTGCTCTCCACCCTGTGTCTGTGCGGGGCTGTTGGTGTTGGGGTGGGAGACGACGGTGGAGGCGGTGGGCAGGTCACTGGCTCTGTCCCTAACTTTGTTTCGTTTTCTAACACTGGGCAGCGTTAGGACTCTCCCTCCCACGAGCGCCCGTGGAAATGGCTTGTAAGTGTCACGTGCCTTATAGGAAGCAGCAGGTGTGGGACGGTCCCAGCAGGTGGGCCGCCCAGGTTCAAATCCTGCCCTTCCGCCTCCTGGCTGCGTGATGCTGGACAAGTCCCCCAGCGGAGCTCTCTGCGGTTGCTCGGCGGCCCCTCATCCAGGGCCCTGGTACCTGGCACCACAACCTGAGCTCGGTGTTAATTCTCCACCCTGATGGAGGTCTTGGTTGTCGTAGCAACCTCAGAGGTAGGCCGTGCGTGGTAGGGATTGCTTTGCTTGAGGTACCACGGATGGTGAGCTCGTCAGTCCACCCGGAAGCCAGGCATCAGGCATCGAACCCGGCGTGTCTCTTGATGGTCCCCGTGGGGTGCTCTCTGTGGAGAGACGTCCTACCCCAGTCTGCCCTAGTGAAGGAGGAGGAAGCGCTGCCAGAGCCAGGGGCCCGTGTCCACACTTGAGGCTCTGCCAGAGCAGCGGATGCAGTGACAAGGGCTGGTGTCTGTGCAGCCACCCACAGAGGCAGTGACCTCAGTGGAAGGGCTTTGGGCAAGAAGTAGCATGTTGTCTCTGGGGCT